TCGTGTTTGGTTTCAGGCCCGGCTGGAGTACCTCCGGGATCAGTTCCAGGTCAGAGAGAACGACTTCCTGACGTTCGATGCCATGCGTCACGCGGCCCAGTGTGTAGGCCGAGTCATCAGAGGCAAGACCGACTACGGACTCATGATCTTTGCTGACAAGGTACGTGATCCTTCTGCCCAGTGTTCTCTCATTTGACCTTGCAATACTTTGACATGAGTATCTACACATTATACAATGTCCCAAATACAAATGCACATTACCAGTCCATCCACAGTCTTCTGATGTTAGCGTTGAAGCAGCTTCACTGGAGCAGTTGGTGGCTTATTGGGTTATTTCTCTAAGCAAAGATCAAACAGTATGTGATGTCTCCCTCCTCAGCGGTACGCCCGAGCAGACAAACGTGGGAAGCTGCCTCGCTGGATCCAGGAGCACATCACCGACGGCAGTCTGAACCTCACTGTGGACGAGGCCGTGCAGCTCTCCAAACACTTCCTGAGGCAGATGGCCCAGCCGTTCAGACAGGTGAGTCGCGCTGTGTTTGAAATGTCTTGCTGCCTGGGTAGTCATCATGTCTAATGTAAGCTTAAATATAAAGAGCATTTATTTGATTCTAACGAAGCAAGATTATATATTTGCTCAGGGTTTTCACCCAGAGAGCACATGCATGTACTTTAAAGTTTTCTGATTACCTGCACTGCTATTGCTCTGGTTTTTAATAGAATAATAAGAGTATACACTGTACTGCACTCAACATTTTAATAAAAGGGGGAAAATGTTTGAGCTTATCCAGTTAATCAGAAGTTAATCTTGACTGCGTTTAGATACAAAAAACAGTCATTTCACTACCTACTTGATCCCACGCAGTTTGAACATGTAGCAGCTTTCTACTCTAACCTTTATGTCACTCACAGCTGCAGAGTGAACAGAACCAGACATCCATAGTAGTGTCATTAAGCAGGACACTGAAAATAGTGATCAGAAAGTCTGATCCTCACACTGATGTCCACCTGTCTGTCTTCTCTCTCTGCAGGAGGACCAGCTGGGTCTCTCTCTGCTGACTCTGGAGCAGCTGGAGTCTGAGGAGATGCTGAAAAAGATCAGTCAGATCGCTCATCAGAGCTGAGAGTAGCATATATGCAGTGGATCATGTCATCACCGTGGCAACACCCATAATGGGATCAGCAGTATTTACAATGGCATCCTGAAAAGCAGAGAAATAAAACTATTGTTTTGTAACTATGATAGAGCACGGTCACCCAGCAGAGGCAACATAGGTTGTTATGGGTTCACTACATCAGGACATTCAGACTATGTGTCAGGAAATCAGCTCATCACTAAACAAAAGAAAAATATGATGGAGTGTTTGTCTTTTATACAAACATAACACATTTAGTGACTAAACTCAGTGCTTGTATTCAGTATTACATTATCACTCACAGATGCCGTACTGTATCCCTTCCTTTATGAGACCTGTGCTATTCAGTATTCAGAGTACTGCAGTCTGATTGAAAACACATGCATTACTATTCCAAGCAAGAAATACTAGCAGGCTAAGCAGTTTAGTTTCAACCAAATAGGTTGTCAGCAGGCATCATTAGTAGGTCAACACGTTGCTTTAACTACAAATCAAGATTCCTCTGGGTGTCACTGCGGTCATAAAGCGTCTGTCATACAGACAGAACTACTGTTAGTTTCCTCTAACTGTACAGTCCCATTTTTTACTGAACATGAATATTTGTATCTGTTTTCCACCAGGATGTCGGAAAATAAATGTTTGTATCTAACAGAGGACTTGTGTTTCCTTTTCATGAAAGTGTTTGAATCTTAATGATATAATTCATTGAGGAGTCACGGCCCGTCCACACAGCGGCGTGCGTTGAAGCTTGCTCCATTTTTTGGAATATGAGGAAATGACCTGCGGTGTGTCTCTCCCAGCATACACGCGGTTTGATTGGCTGCATAAACGGGATTTGATTGGCTGACGCTTCCACCGAAGCTTCAGAAGCTTCAAAAGTTGAACATTGCTCAACTTTTGCAGCCTGAAACGCCAGCAAAGCTCCGCTCTGCTTCCCACAATGCAGTTCGGCGAAAAGTGACGTCACCCCATTCAAAGTGAATGGGCAGAAGCGTTGGAAGAAGCTTCCAACGCCGCTGTGTGGACGGGCCGTCACAGTAGCTATTCAAGCCGGAAATTGGTGTAGCAGCCCTTTAATAATAAAGAAAACACAAATTGTCAAACTCTAAAAGACATAAAACACAAAGCAAAGCAAAGCAATTACATCTTAAGGTAATTTATTTCAGCTCAGGTTTGCAAATATAAAATACAAACATATTTACCAGAATCAGGAGATATATTCCACTTTCTACATACTTCTTTCCCATTGTATACGTAACATGTGTTTCATATCAAACGGTAGCTTCTACAGGTACTAGTGTGCGGTTTCAGCCCTGACAGGGTGCAGCAGTGACATCCTCTACCACAGCAGATAATCAGTAGTTCTCCACCGTGGGAAGCCAGGTCATAAAGTATGTAATGCTGTTTTCAGTGAGGGAAGATTTCCAAGCAGCACTCTCTGTTTTTGCGTCCATGTCTTTGAACATTCCAGAGGTTTGAGTATGCACACAATTATAGTTATTAAATGCTTTTAGTCCATGCTGTGTTGTAGTCATATCACCAGATAGAGTTGGAGTAATAGTTCAAGTAAGTCTTTCTATAAAAAAGATCACAATGAAATGACATGTTAAAGGTGGGGTAGGTAATTTTGGAGAAACCAGCTCGAGTGCGCTAGAATTTGAAAATACACAACCGGAAAAAATCTGCCACTTCCTTATGGAGCCCCTCCTCCAACACACACGAACGTGCACATGACCAATGAGGGCACGAGATAAGTTTGTGCACAGATGGAAGGCTGACAGGCAGGTAGGCCATCCAGTTATTTTAGCCGGGTCGGCTAAAATGATTGGTCGTGCTTTTTACAGTATTACGGCTTCCACAGATGACATTTTTTTATGGATTTTTTGTCAAAGCACTTAAGATATTCATTGCTATCGGGATGTTAAGAGCATTCCATGGAATATAACAAAAAGTGTTTCTCGAGCCGGTTTCTCAAACTTACCTACCCCACCTTTAAATTAAGAGCTAGTTTACTATTTTCAATAGTATGATGCAGCTAGTTCTAGATTTCAGGCGTTTCAGAGAAGGAGCATAAGTGACAGACATTCTTAAGTTGGCCACCTTAAATGTGTTCCTCAGTCACACTGAGCCAGGTTTACTATGGAGATAGATCCAGGCCAAAAATGTTGATTATGTGAAAAAAAACATTAATCTGAAAGTTTGATCCTGAATAAAAGTAAATTGAATGTTTTAAAAAAAATAATATGAAAAGGTTTTTCAGGTTGAATATTATTTTTGATTCAGTTTAGGAATTAATATGAATTCTCACATTTGACCTTCATATATCATTTGATATTTGTTTCAGTTGCAGTGTTATATGAGGCAGACTCGTAGCCCCTTGTGTCTCTGGGTTGCCCTTTAGCTGCTAGAAGTATGTCTTCACAGGCTGAGACCTGTATCTGCCTGCTTTTGGCTCTGGACACATATTGTCATGTTGGATTGTCAAAGCTTGTCTGAGACATTTCTGAACTTACACACAAGGATAATTGCTGACTTTGTACAGCATAGAGCCTTTTCTATACGGTCTTGCTCTAACATCTGCTGTATGTCATGGTTTCCACTTTCTTTGACTTTACAGCGTCAGAGTCAGGCTCAGAGTCCGAAATGTTCCAATCCTGCACAGAGTGGCTCTCAGTCAAAGGTGGTGCTCAGTCAGTGTTAGCTTCAATCCTTCTCCTGCCTTTGAGCTGGTCTCAGATTTGAGTTAAACACCGACTCAGGCACAGAGCAGTACTTTTGTTATACAGTTTTCTGAATAGTGTTCGAACACTGACACATAATTGCTGGATATGGAAGTGTGCACTTTAGTACTTTAATATTCAAGTATTGATTGATTTACCACAGCTTAAGAGTTCGATTGATCAAAAATATATGACTGACAATGTGCAAAAATATCCATATTCAATAGTACAATTTAAAAAATCTTATATGTGTTCATTTTGTGCAGCTGGTTTGTTTTTATTCAAGTTTAAAAAAAGTTGGTCCTTATTCTCGTAGTGTGGAATGTCAAAACTGGACTGGGTAGCAAAACAGCTGATCTGTGATGTTTCAGTCATATGATTAGAAGGACCTGCACATTATAAAGGCAACATACATTTAAAGAACTCAAACAGTTCCAACGTGATAGCTTCACTTCTCCCTTGTAAACCAAATGCAACAATATTTTATATTTTGACAACGCATCATAGTTTTGATTATCGTGCAAACAACTTTACATTCCTGTGAATTTATAAAAATGTATAAACATTATCAATCTTAATGTCGATATGAGTGTTTGTCTCCAGAGCATTTAAACATAAATAACGGAACGTTGTTTTACATTGTTGATAATAGAAATGTTACTAATATGAAAGATGAAATTATATTGTTAATCTGCTAATGACATGGTTAAAATAAAGAAATGAAATATAGAAAACTTTGTTTTCTAACAGTGTCAATCCTGGTGAGGAAATTTGGAAACTGAATTCAATAAAACTAGAAATAATAATATGACCTCTTCAGTGAGTAGGAAGGAAAGAGAGGTTCTTCACAACGATGTTCTAACCGCTTTCTGGAGACAATTGTCATCACCAGAGACAAACATGTCATTATTGTGCTAACTGTGAAATGTTCTCAATAGCTTAGATTACATATAATAAGCTCTTTAAATTAGGAATATTTGTACACATTTGCACGTTAGATTATTGACAAAGTCTGCAGTTGCGACAACTATCTCCAAAAGTGGGGAATCATATTAGTGTAGAACACCTGATGAGAGCGATAGGTGTGTGTGTGTGTGTGTGTGTGTGTGTGTGTGTGTGTGTGTGTGTGTGTGTGTGTGTGTGTGTGTGTGTGTGTGTGTGTGTGTGTGTGTGTGTGTGTGTGTGTGTGTGTGTGTGTGTGTGTGTGTTAACTGGTACCACCCAGTGAGCCTCTTCTCGTCAGGCTCTGTGTGCTGGAGCTCAGTCCTCGAACATCTGCCAAGCGGCTCGACTGAGGAACAAACAGAGACACGAGGATGTGAACGTGGGACAGTCAGAGGCATCTACTTCTCTCAAAGAGACCAGAGTTAAAACCCCTCTGCTCTACTTGTCTTTCTCACTAGGCAAATGCATAACCAGTGAGATAACAGCTGTTTGTGAGCAGCAGCATTACAGGCTAGCTAGCCTCTGTACCTCGTGTCCAATATTTCATTTTCATGGCCTAATTTACTAGGATATTTTTATTACATTTTTTGACATAGTCTATATAGCATGACTTTTCATTTAATTTCTTTATGATATACTACAATGTGACTTTTTGGATGAAAATGGAATGGCTGTAAATCCCACTCAACTCCCCAAGGTGTCCCTGTGTCTTCATGAGCCACAACATGTTTCATGTGAATTCATATGATTATTTATGAGTATACTATGGCATTTTTAATTCAACATTTATACCAAACTATACTTTATGACTAGGATTTTTACAAGGCAGACCCTATTATGACTTATTGATGCACTATTACGTTTCGTATGATGTATTAAACTATGACTTTTTCTTACATTCTTTATGGTATACTAGATTAAAGTTGTTTATGATACGCTATACTGTAACTTCTTTATGACAATTAAAGGCATCCTCAAACTCATACACTTTTACATTCTGTATGGCATACTATACTATGACCTTTTCATGACATTTGAATGAAATAATCTAGTTTTAATTTTAATGATATGATATATACTTACTTTTTCATAACATTCTTTATGGCATACTATGACTTGTAATTTGTTATGACATAATGTACCCTTAAGTTTAAGGACATATTCTAATGGCATACTATATGAATAGTTCTTCCTCAACTCGTCATATTTTGTAAGTGTGTTTGATAATCCACAAAATGAACATGGAAGAACATTGTGCTGTGCAGACACATCACAACAAGAACTTTAGCTTCAATAAATCAGTCATTTCAAATCTATAAGAACCTGGCGCAGTTACTACTCATGCATGTTATCGCTGTTAAGGCCCGGACACACCAAGCTGACACCAAAGAACTGACACGAGAGGCTTCTCAATACTCTAATTTCCCCTCCTCGACTCCTCGGAAATGGATTTCATGTTGAAGGACATCTAATTTCTCTAAATGCACATCGAGGACCGAGCATCGAGCGTCGAGGAGGCTCTCTGGAGGAGCTATAACCGAGGATACACTGATGGCTCCTCCACGGCTCCTCCACGGATGCATTTCCGGGAACGGTGGAGGCGTGACGCACGGCCGGACTTATCTCAGCCAATGACAGCTCTGCATGCATCCCCTGGATATTATTTTAGTAACTGCTTTCATCGCGACGCGATGTTTACAGTGAGAACAGCTGTGAGGTCCGTGCAGAAAGCAGAGCAGTGTGTAACATATATATCACTCGGTATAACAGGCCTACATTACTCTCTGTATTTGTATGCTGTAGTTTAGTAGATATCTACAAACAAAGAGTCCATCTTTTTCTAAGACCATTTAGTGCTTCACATAATAAAATACACAACGGCTGTAGCCTGATGATATGCTTTAGGAGCTGTAGGTGTGTGTGGTACAGTGTGTAGGTGTGTGTGGTACAGTGTGTAGGTGTGTGTGGTACAGTGTGTAGGTGTGTGTGTTGTACAGTGTGTAGGTGTGTGTGTGGTACAGTGTGTAGGTGTGTGTGTGGTACAGTGTGTAGGTGTGTGTGGTACAGTGTGTAGGTGTGTGTGGTACAGTGTGTAGGTGTGTGTGTTGTACAGTGTGTAGGTGTGTGTGTGGTACAGTGTGTAGGTGTGTGTGTGGTACAGTGTGTAGGTGTGTGTGGTACAGTGTGTAGGTGTGTGTGGTACAGTGTGTAGGTGTGTGTTGTACAGTGTGTCGGTGTGTGTGTTGTACAGTGCGTAGGTGTGTGTTGTACAGTGTGTCGGTGTGTGTGTTGTACAGTGCGTAGGTGTGTGTTGTACAGTGTGTCGGTGTGTGTGTTGTACAGTGCGTAGATGCGGCGGACAGACGGGTCTCAGTTGGTTTGGTGTCCTATGCTTACTTTTAATACTTGTAAATACAACTTTTGGCCCGTAATTTCAATTCCCCATTTCAGCGACCAGAGAGAGGGGGGGGATATATCCAGTCTCTGATTGTGTTACGTTATTATGAGAGTGCTCTCATACTTTAAATTGTATATATTTATATAAATATATGTGTGTGTATATGTCCGCATCTGTAGCCTGTTATTGTCAATGAATTAAAAGTAAATATATAAGTGGTCATGAACACATCTGTCCATCAGACAGAGTGCTGCTGTGCCTCCTGTCATCATTAACGGACGTCTCTTTAAACCGCTCAGAGGAGAGGAGTTCTCATTTCTCTAACCGCCTGCTGCTTCCCCTCCTCTCTCCTCGGTTCCCCTCCTCGGCTCCTCCGCTCGCATCTCCTGTGGGCGGGACTAAGTCTCGAGGATAGGAGTCGAGGAGGGGAAATTAGAGTATTGAGAAGCCTCTACAGACGGACCCCGACTGTTGTGTCGCCTCGCGTCTCTGCGTCTTGGCCAACGGTCGCACTGGAACACACCGCAAAGACTTCAGCCGACGGCCAAGTAGCACGTACGAACTGTGCATGCGTGAGTGGGAATAACTCTCCTTACCAGCAGGCGGCGGTAGTGTGTATTCGTCATTCAAAAGAGGCAACAACCGGAAGACAGACAGCGTGATAACCGAGAGAAGAAGAACAGACTGCGTGATATAAACAAACAACAAATAGCGTGTGCGTTCCATGTTCACTCTACAGCGAGAAGCTCATGGGGCTTTCCCGAACCTGTGTCGAGAGCTGGAGTTAAAGGAAATCTCAGATTTGCCTTCTTAATAGTTTGTTTGGGTCCCTCACTTCCGTTTCGCTTCTCATGCACTGATTCGCTAGCTGAACAGCCAATCAGAGTGATTTCTTTTGCCGACTGCCTTTGGCCGACTGCCCGGGCCGAAAAGGTGTTGGCACGGCTGAAAAGACATGACGGTGCGGGACACACCAATCTGAGTAGGGCGTGTCGACGCTCATCGTCGGCCTGACGCCCATCGACGGCCAAAATCGGCTTGGTGTGTCCGGGCCTTTAAACCGAAGGAAACATCCACAGTGTTCTCACCTGGGCCCCGTCCTGACTCTCTCGGTCCCGATCATTCAGCACATTCAGAGAGTTCGCTCTCTTCATCCTGAAACAGAGAGACAATAATAATGAACTCTTAATCTTTATAAAAGGGATATAATATCACTAAACACACACAAACTTCTACAAGCTGGGTTTAACTGATTTTGGAAAAAAGTTGATGTCGCCAACCCTGGTTTAACAACAGGCCTGAAAAACAATATTCGTATATACAGACTTTCAGAATGAGTTCTTGTATATTTATTAAATAGGAAACCTTTCTTTCAAAAATGAGGTATCCACCATTTAAAAACGAAATCACTTTATATGTTATCTTATTATTCACATTGTTTGTTTGTAAAATTATTAAACAGGATTTATTTGACATAAATCAGGGTCTGCATCTGTGTCTCTGGACGATCTATGAGATGTGTACGGGTTTCAGCTACAGTTAGACTTAAGGTGAGAGGTCAACATCTTGTCAACAGAACATTACCCAGCGTTGCTCTGAATATTGTCCTCTATTCCGACTCCTCTCAGCTTGCGGACCAGCTTCTCGCTGCTCCTCCGTATCGACTCTCTGAGTTTGGTGAAGGATCCGCTGCGCCTCAGGTTACTGAGCCCGTCCTGTCCCGCCCCACCGTCCTCTGCCCCGGACCAGCTGGGACGACCGTCCCCTGGAGGACAGACAGCAACAAACCAGTATGAACAATAAGAATGAACAATAAGAATGCTAATACCGGCAGGAACACATGAGCAGTCTACAGCAGACCTGGTCAGACAGGATCTACAGCAGACCTGGTCAGACAGGATCTACAGTAGACCTGGTCAGACAGGATCTACAGCAGACCGGGTCAGACAGGATCTACAGCAGACCTGGTCAGACAGGATCTATAGCAGACCTGGTCAGACAGGATCTACAGCAGACCTGGTCAGACAGGATCTACAGCAGACCTGGTCAGACAGGATCTACAGCAGACCGGGTCAGACAGGATCTACAGCAGACCTGGTCAGACAGGATCTATAGCAGACCTGGTCAGACAGGATCTACAGCAGACCTGGTCAGACAGGATCTACAGCAGACCGGGTCAGACAGGATCTATAGCAGACCTGGTCAGACAGGATCTACAGCAGACCGGGTCAGACAGGATCTATAGCAGACCTGGTCAGACAGGATCTACAGCAGACCTGGTCAGACAGGATCTACAGCAGACCTGGTCAGACAGGATCCACTCCGGTTGGGAATCCTTCTTGGATTTGTTTCCAGTATTTCCAAGTATTTTTTTGTACTATAAGCTAACTTTCTCGTGGTCACTGATGAACATTTAGGTGTTTACTTTGTATTATATGTTTGTCTTTTAAAGGCACTTGACAACAGAAGTGCATTCCCTTTAACAGCAGTTACGGAAAGGTGACCTCAGTTTCACTCAGATTTGATTTGCTTTGTCTACTTGTGTTAAACCTTTCTATATTTCTCTGCAGATACACACACTTCTAGTAGGTGAGTGATCAATAAGAGTACGAGTCCATCCATGGGACTTAGGACAATCCTACTTATTCTGCCCATTAAATGAGGCTGTGTAACTTTTGAGAGAACGTTTCTCTTCTAAATTAAAAGTCAAATGTATGAGCAATTCAAACCCGCTTTGCTCACTTTCTACACTTGGTGGCTTTCCTTTTAAAGCCTTATTTGGTCTGATATTAATATCAATTAACTGGGACTCATTTGAGCCAATGTCTGCACTATATAATAATGTGTATTTACATGTCATTCAATTTGCCAACTCAAAGACTTTAACATGAACTGTAACTAAAAGTGACTGTGCCTGTGTTTTCACTACCAAAGTATTAGTTTAGGATAATATGGGAAAACAGAACTCTTCTTATTAAGCACTCAAATCCAGATATAATCATAACCAATACTTTTATTTGGCTTTAACTGAAACACCTAATCAAAGTAAAACATTAAGAGTTGTAATTACTTTCCAAAAGTCTCACTGTAAAATAAAACTTGTGCTTAAACAAAATGAAAAACCCCCAGCAATATGTACCTTCCACAGATCCAAACTCCTTCTCATGTGCTCGGGTCAGGATCTCTTTGTACAGAGACTCAGCTTGTCTGTATTTCCCCTGCTTCAGATAGCACGATGCCTGAGAGGGAACACAGAAACAGGACAAGAGATGAGAGATCAGTTTCTTCACAGTAATGAACTCGTTGAGGAACCAGGGAAACTCAGAGGAGCAACAGAACAATCTAAAATGGCTCCTCCTGAAGGGCCCTCTCACCAGGTTGTTCTTGGTCTTGGCCACGTTGGCGTCGTCTGGGCCCAGCTTGCTCTGGTAGATGTGCAGAGCGCGCTCGTAGTACTGCTCCACCTCCTGGTACTTCCCCTGGTTCTGACACAGCAGGGCCAGGTTGTTCAGCTGCTTGGCCACATCGGGGTGATCAGTGCCCAACACCTGGGGGGGGGGGGGGTCAGACACAAGATACACTGAGCACAAAACATACATTATTCTTTCCAAAGCCATCACAGTGTCTCATACTTCATTGAAGATGTATTAAGATAATTTACGCAGAGCTAGAATCTTGAGGATTACTTGGGAATGACCCAGTTTGTAATAGTGCAAATGCAAGGGGCCATAGTGTTGCCTCATTCAGCCAAAGACCGTGCCTTAACAGACATGTAGTAGTCAGATGAAAGTCTTCAAACTTATTTCTTCAAGTAAAGATAGCATAACTCACTGTGAAAATGCTCTCTTACAAGAAAGAGTTCCACTTTCACTATCTATTGTACTTGTAGTGAAAACCCTTGGTTAGAATAAATGCCTATACATCAAAGATTTGTAGGAGATATAAAGGTTTATGGAGCATACATCTCTGAAGAGCAAACATTTGAATCATTTTACTCATTTAAAAAGGGAAAAGGACTATTTGTTAGGAATCTTCCAAACGCTGAAGGTTTTCATAAGAAGAGTAAAACAAGAGTGTGTCCGCTCACTTTCTCTCTGATCTCCAGAGCTCTTTTACACAGCGGCTCTGCTTCTTTGTATTTTCCTCTTTTCCCATAAAGCACTGCCAGGTTGTTGAGCGTTGCTGCCACCTGCACAGACAAACAAAAACACACAATGTTCATACACAGCAACTCAGTGAGTCTGACCTGAACTACTGAGAAACATGTTTGGGTTATATAGACTGCTCACCCACAGCGACAAAACAAGACTTAAATATATGTTTCTACTAATACTAGTGCACACAAGACGTGTTTAAAGGTCCCATGTCATGCTTTTCTGGTTATTACCCGTCCCCTTGTGTGTTATGTAGCTTCTGCATGTAACCGGTCTGCAGAGTCACTAACCCTCAAAGTACACCCTGTAGCGAGTAAAACTCTAACACAGAAAAGACCTGTCTCTGCTGCCCCAGAACACCTCGTTGGACATTTCTCTTTTTCCATTGTTTACTTCTTGGGTATAGTGACGTATTTCGGGTATAGTGACGTAACGTAATGTACGTTACGTCCGCGGCGCCGTTACGTTTGGACCAATCCGCGGACTTCCTCACACACACACACTCGGCGGGACGTTGCGAGGCTCGCTGCTGCGAGGAGCGGGACACTGTGAGCTGGCTCACTGGTGTGGGGTCGGTGAGACAGCGCGGAACTCAGCCTGGGCACACACACAAACTCCCAGCCAGGCTGCGGGTGTGTGTGTGTTTCAGGCTGGGTTCCGCTGTGTCTCGCTGTCTCGCAGACGGCCACTGGGCTCACAGGGAGGGGGGGGGGCAGGAGCTCCAACAAGCCGTGTAGGACAGAGAGTGAATACACATACTATACAGAGATGCTGTATGAGAAACCAATGTGAGTTTGGAACATTGAACAATGTAAATCTATTCTAGTAGACCTCAACAATGGAATTATGATCAGTAGAAATGGCCATGACATGGGACCTTTACAAACAAACACAATAATAAGTGAAAAGCAAGTGAAATAAATACAAAAGAAGCAGCATTTGTTCCAGGTTATTCAGTATGTGAGCGGTAATTAAAGTGTGTCAGTGGGCTACAGCAGATTTATTGAATGAATTAAAAAAGAAGAAACTTACAGCGGGATGGTCCATCCCCAGAGTTTTCTCTCTGATGGCCAGCGCATCGTTCAGCAGGTTGGCTGCTTCTTTGTATTTGTTCTGATCTCTGTAGAGAAACACACATTGCACTTATTGTCACCTCAGATTCTACTTTTTATATATGATCACATCGTTTTGGCGAATAGAGGTGTGGGGGAACATTGTAATGCTGAATTAGATTTTTCATTCCTTCTTTTTTTATTATAGTAAGACCTTTAATATTATAAAAAGGGTAAAAACAATTAGTTTGTAGTTAGAATAGTATTATATAGTATTGATGACAAAGGTTGATACATAAATACACAGCAGATCAATGTTATACAATATTCTATCCAGCAACGTTAACAGATTGGAGACATTTGTCAGTTAACAATGCAATTAAAATGAATTTGCTAGATAATGTCATCAATACCAGTGACCTTATCTAATTGTGGTGTATAATCTTTATAAAAGTGTTCTGTTGGTGACCTCACCTGTACACCAGCGCCAGTATATTCAGCATGGTGGCTACGTCTGGGTGTGTGTGACCTGAGGACTTCTCTAGGTCTTCCAGAGCCTGTTGACACATACATAAGCATTGGATCAGTACATAGAGATGACCAGATTAACATTTTCAAACTCCTGGCTTTTTTATCATTTGAGCAGATAAAGATTAGTTTCAACCCGTGAGCAGCTCTTTAAGTTGGTGTTGTTTAGGCTCACTGCTCACTGTAGGCTCATGGGTGATATTTATGTAATGTTTGTGACACTGTCATCCGATGGGACCTTCATTAAGTTAGCATATTCATATTGGAACATTATGACTATATAAGGAGGATATGTTCTTATGTTGATTTAGTGTTTCTAATGGACATCCTGATATTTCTCAATTATTCTCCTCTTTTCTACTGATGTGCTGATAACAAAGTTCAGCTGTAAAACTTTTAAAAATGGAATAAAGCGCTGTCTTAAGCACCAGGGAGGTTTGCAACTTTGTGTATTCCTCATTTGACACAAGCTATGAACACATTGTATTAAAGCTTCAGTGTCATTTCCCATCTCTATCCGTACGTAGTGTTTTATATCTTGGAAAGACTGCATTTCCATAATCATTTCAGAACTCTCTGTCTTGATCCCCCCTAGGAGGATTGTTCTCAGCCCTGCAGTGCACCTGGGAGCGATTACTTTGGGCTGAACTAATGCAGGACAGAGGGTGAGGTTGCAGTGAGTTTCCAGAAGAGATGCAGGCTGTGGATCCAGGGACTCAAGGAGCCAGAGCTAGTGCAGTTTAAAGGTGAGGCTCCTCCCACCTGTTTGCAGAGCGGCACAGCGACCTCGTAGCGGCCCTGGGAGGCGTACTGGATGACCAGGTTGTGCAGGGTGCGCAGCCGGGCGGGGATCTCGTACCCCCCCTGCTGCGCTGCCGCCGCTGCACTGCTGTGGTGAGGCTGGGACACTGAGCAGAGGGCAGAGACGCTCAGCTCAGATACATGCACTATTTAATACTAGCATCATGATATTTCAATTACATTTCATTAACAACTTTTTATCCACCCCACAAACATCATGCATTACATCAGTGGTTCTCAAAGGGGGGTACACGGACCCCTAGGGGTACGTTGGAGTACTGCAGGGGGTACGTGAGATTTATTTTATGTTAATGTAAAAATAGATAAATATACCAATTTTAGGAAAAGTAAGGAAGTTTGAGCAGTGTGGGTTTTCTATTAACAGAGTTACACATATTTCAAAACGCGAAGTGTAATAACTGCAGTTTGCCTCCCTGTCAGAATGACAAAGATCCTCAGTGAAGCACAAGCCCATGTTTCTCACTACATTGTAAGTACAACTTATTAAAAAGATCAGTTCAATGCAACTAATGTCGTCTTTGTGTTATTGCATGATGTTAAAATTGGTTTGCCATGAATTTAGTGATGGATTGTAAACATTTGAAATGTAGCATTTAAGTGTTTCTCAGTTACAATGTTGTTTTAATAAATCAGACACTGATGGTGCAGCGCTGTACTGTACCTCTTTATATAGGCTTTTTCCCCCTAACAAATAGTTGTTGCGCTGATCAGGGGGTACTTGGCTGACTTTTTTACATTATTGAAAAAAGTTTGAGAATCACTGCATTACATGAATGAACATGTTGTTCTTTATTTTGTATAAAGCCATGTTCACACTCAGCTCTCTGAATACATTTAGCACATTCTGCACACATGTCTACATAGCCCTCCACTTTCAAATATCAAATGTTTAGTTATTTTGTGTTGTATATTTACATTTAAATGTTGTATTGACACTTTTTTAATGCTAAATGGTTTCTTAAACATACTTATTTGTATTACATGATTACATATTACATGATTACCTATCATTACAAGCTATCTTGTTAGATTGTTTATGTTGGCACCACCAGACACCAAAGCAGATTCCTTGTATGTGTGAACGTACCTGGCAATAAACTTCTGATTCTGAAGTAAACGTATACATTTGATTCATGAACTGATATTGTTGTGAATGATTTAACACTTCTTTTCAAAGTGTTTTTGACAGAATGTGACTATATTGGAGCATTAAATAAAATATAAAGACTCCAAGGTGCTGTTATACTATACATCCATACAGACAATAAATACATTCCCAACTTGCTTTTAAAAAGAAAACATTTAGCTGGATGAGGAAATCGCTTTTAGATTATTTTCACTGGCTGACATCATGCATTTCTCTGAAGAGATGCCATCGTGCATTATTACGCAAGACAAAAATGTGACACCAGACCTCGAGATGTCTTTACTGTGTGTGAAAAGTTGTTACGCTAAATATACCCACAGCAACACAGTTACACTCTTCAGTGTATCTGTGGCCAATGAAAACATGTTCATCTGCTACACACCTCTATGAAAACAGAGGATTTGTAATTCACTCACGCACATAAACAACATGTGTGATGTATAGCTAATTATAACATTAAAAGGATTAGTTCCCAAAAATATTTTCGAGCCGTTTTAGTTCTATTTTCTGGGCTTTTAAGTGTTCTTTTGCCGACCTGACAATCTGGATGAATGGAAATGTACATTTATGTTGTGAATGAGTAACAGATCTAAAGACTAGAGTCTTACTCTGTGACTGCTCCTCATCCTCAGTAGGAAAGAGGTCATCCAGGGACTCTTTGGTTGAAGACGCGTCTTTGTCATCCTGAGGTGAGGAAGACACATTCAGCAAACAATGCAACTGCTGACCAATTACAACATCATATATATATATATATATATATATATTTGCTCAGTGAGTACACTACACAACAGTAGTGGTGTCAATTTAGATTTTAAACTAATGGACCACGCTAACAAACAAATTAATTGTAGGAGTTGTTTAGAGCTCCTAGATTTGAATATAAGGCACATTGATAACATGGCTCAGTCTCGGTGCTCTTATCAAGCCCATTTCAGCAAATAATTTCAGCTATGTGTTTGTCAACTGTGTCTTATTTTTTCAACCAAAAATGGCCTTCCATACAATAAGTCATTAAAGACTTACAGGACAGAATATATACACACAAAAACATCCAGATAATAGCATATACCTAAGGCTACCTTCCAGAACGAGCTGACAGGTCTGGCAGGTTTGTAGAATGATTTGTTATTTAAAGAACTACATGTAGTAATAGTAAAGTCTTCCTGAGTACACACACACATATTAGTGTTTGCGTGGTGTTTGCTGTCTGCTCACCAGCTGCGGCTCGTCCAGGTCGTACTTGCGTATGGAGGACATGAACTGCAGGTGTCTGTTCTGCTCCTCCAGGGTCACCACCTCCTGCTCACTGTCCTGCAGGCGCTGCTGGGCTCCTGCCAGCTCGTCCCTCAGCCACTGGTTCTCCTGACAGAAGCGCCGCACCTGGGGGGCACAGAGACATAGAGAGAGGACACAGGGTAGAGGCAGGGAAGGAATGAGAAAGGGGAAGTAGAAAGGATGTAGGGGAGAGAAAGGGAAAAGAAAGGAACATGCAGACAAAAGATAATGGCCCAAGAGGGTGAAAAGGGAAAGGAATGTAAGGAAGAGAATACATGTGGACAGAGAGAAAGAGGGAAGAGGAGGAGAATGATTGGTTGGAGATGAAGGAATAAGTGTAACAGAGGATCAATTAGTGAAAGGGGGTTGGAACAAGGAGGAAGAAAAAAGGAGGGAGAAGGATGTTTGGGTTTTGAGGAGAAAAGCATGAAGGAGGAGGATTTGAGAGAGTATACTTTTCTTTAGGGTCAGAAAACAAAATGAAGGATTTACCAAAGTCAGCCATCTGTTATTTTCCTCTTCAGTTGTTCTTTTTTTTAATGTAATGTCCTGCAGAAACGTACCTGAGCACGCAGCTTCTGTTTCTCCGCCTCCAGAGAGCCCAGATGAGCCGACAGCGCCATCATCACCTGGAGGGTGCAGAGGGAAACTCCTCAGAGTTCAATCTAAAACCCTAACTTCATTTGATAATCAATTGAATTCTTCTTTGAACTGAGCATTCCTTGGGACAAAGATTTTATATCTTTACTGTGTCCGCCTTTATTCTTCCCAATGCGGTGGTTAATCAGAGCTTATTTGATGAAAAGAGATGCATACCTTTGCTGGAATGGGCTTGATAAGAGTATTGCGACTGAAGCATGAAGTCAATGTTCAGTCAAATCTAATCTAGGAGCTAAAACAGGCTAAATGACTCCATAAAGCTACACATTTCAAAGGGATTTATTTGTGTTTGTCAGTGAGAGACACCCCTTTTAAATGTTGGCCCATTAGTTTCAAATCAGAAGTGGCACCATTATTAACAGCTACTGTTCAAAAACTTGTTTTGGCCCATAACAAAAATAAAATAATAGCTACAGTAAAAGACGCAAAAATGCTACGAAGAGCTAATAGCACCTTAAAGTACCACAAAGACTACGTCCCTATAGATGTCCCTACCTGTGCCTCGCTGAGCCCCAGCTCGATCCTCTCCAGTGATTGGCGGATGATGCCGCTCTTCTCCTGCTCCACGCTGCCGCTCTCAGGCGCCGCCCGGCTCTCCAGCGCCTCCTGCAGGTTGTCCAACAGACTGCGGTTCTCTCCTCTCAGCGCCTCCAGCCCGGCGATCACCTGCTGCGTGTTGCACAGAATCTCCTCCGCCGAAAACATGGCTGCCACTCTGAGGTTCCCTCTCTCACAGCAACTGACCTGGGAGCAGCACAAAGGGGGTCAAACAATGGAAAGTCATTTTAGTGGTACTCATAGTTATGGTAGTAAAAGAGAGAGGGAAATACCGTAAAAGCAGGGCTTGTGGTATTAAAAGTAGTAGTAGAATATTAAAGATTAGCAGTAGAAATAATAGGAGTAATACAATTGTAATAGTGGCAGTAGTAATAACAGTTGTAATAGCAGTTGTAATAGTGGAAGTTAAGGGATAGCAAAAGTAGTCTTTTAAAATACATTGGATACATTTTGGTCAACAGTGGATATAAGATTGTATATATTATTAAGTAGTTATCATGATGACACTTGTGATTACTTGGGAAAATGTTATTTAAAAAAAGGATATTTTGGAATTATTTTAATTCTTGTATAGTTTGTTTGTTGTAGTCAGAGAGTCTGGTATTAAGGATTTACACATTTAATTCCATAACATGTTCAATGGTTGGTTTTACATTTCAATAAAAATAAGTAGTAGTCGATTAAGTAGTCAAAGCGGAAGCATAAGTACTACCTGTAGAATAGGTAGCAAATAGTAGCAGAAGGACTAGCAGTAACAGCGTGTCAGTCATTGTGGTACTAGTTGTTAGAGCAAGAGAAGAAATAGTAGGCTAGTATTATTAATACTAGTAGAAGTGGCAGTAGTAATGCCAGGTTGAGTAGTGATAGTCATGACAGTAGGAAAGCAGCAGCACGAGTACTACTGTAGCAGATGTTCTAGAGAAGAGTAGCCATTAGTAATAGGAGCTTTTGGGGACTTTACAGTAATAACACTATGAAGTCATAGTATACGTCTGTAACTTCCAACATAAAGATTAGTTTAGAAGTACATTCTTAACAAGCAGTATTTAGAAGTCAGCATGCTGTTATTATAGTATCACATTGGCTCTAACTCAGCTGGCTCTAGTGCTAGGTCATCGGATACAAAGCAAATCGAATACAGTGAAGATTTAAGAAAAAAATGGGGAAGGTGTCAATTGTCTGAAGCTAGGGCTGTTCAATTAATCGTATTTTAATCGCAATTACGATTTTGGCTTGCAACGATTATGAAAACCACATAATCGAAATAAAACGATTATTTTTATTTAGTTATTTATTTATTTAAAAAAACATTTTTTATTGGTTTTTCAGTTTAATTATACTTAAAGTTCAGGGTAATCAACTGTTAAAAACATACTGTTCAAAAAAAATTTCAATAAATGGATGTTTTCAAAGTAAATGGATAATCGTTTTTAATAATCGTGATATCAATTATTGACCCAAATAATCGAGATTATGATTTTTGCCATAATCGAGCAGGCCTATCTGAAGCCATTAAAACTAGCTGCACCTTTACCAGCTTTGATTATAATGATTGATCATTAAAGTGTTCTCAAAGCTGGTAAAGGTGCAGCTAGTTTGAATGACTTTGTATACTGCAGGGTAGCTTGTGAATTTACTCCAGGTGGAACTAAAGTCTGATTTAACACTTGATTATATTTCACATCATTTATCCAAATATGATATGATATGATATGAAACACACATTACTCTGTGTATTCTGTGTGTACTGTGGGCGGAGCAGCAGACCTCCGGTCAGTGCACCATCATGTCGGTAACAATGTATTTATCACGCTCATGTTGAACCTACAGCCTCTCCGATGATATAATGACGACTGCGTCACATTGAGAGCCATTTCTGTCCAGTTTGTTGTGAAAACGTCCTTGGCTATACTGGACAGCTCTCCTGTAACAGTGCTCGATAACTATTGGGTCTGAAACACGATGTAAACACAGACAGACATGAAGGCTTCATTCAGATCACATCCACAGTTATTTATAGCGTAACGCTACCTGCTAAATCCAGGCTCCGGCGGCGTGGTGGCGTCTTTTTGTCCACTCTGAGCTGTTAATATTATTTTAATTTGGAAAGAGGAACCGGTATACAGAGTATCATTTTCGCTTACAGTATCTGTCAGTTTATTTACTGTTGGGACGGTGATAAACTAGGAACTGTTAATGATTCACCTGCTGCTCCTCGGCGCTCAGCTCCTCCTGTCATCACAAACTCATTAGCATTAAGCTAGCATAACAAGACATTTAACTTCCGGCGTCACCTTCAGAATAAAAGTATTGTCAACAAGCACAGCAGCTTAATATACAGTGAGTACAGATAAATAGGATCTGAAGAACAAACACCGTGAGTGTTTGAGTGTACGGGGGTCACAGTGTCGAGATAAGTTCTGTTACTTGAGAGCTGATCATGAGACAATGGTTCCCTCGGCACAAAAGGTGCATTTAAATGATATGAAGCGAAAAGTGCTTGATTCCTGGAAATATTCAGTAAACATAATAATAGGTTTAAGGTAAAAGAATAGTTTGCCTGCATGGTATGGTATACATTTGTCAAAAACTGTTTTCAGTTGTGGACATTAAGTACATTTACTTACTTGAGTACTCCAGTTAAGTACATTGAAGTAAAAGTTGTAATTTACTTGATTATTTCAGTTTTTATTAATCAATCAATCATTCCACTCTCCTATATCTCAGGGGTATATATTCAACTTGTTTTGTCCGACAGCTTTAGTTATTATTGACTTGTTGTCCAATGAAACCATGTTTCTGACACTGAAAGATTGTGAAATGGTCCTTTGAGAAACTGTTCTTATCTATTAAGCCAAATATACTATTTAACGAATATATTGGATCAGATGAAAAAAGCTGTTTTTCTGAAAACTCATGAAAAGCTTACTTTTGTAAATATGGTGTTCTCCCAGCACAGTGCATAACAAAAGAATGATCTTGTAGAATATGATGCATACCTGTAGAAAAAACAACATAAACATCTACAGCAGGAAGTCAGCTGCACAATGCATAATGCCCAAAAAAGCTTTTCATATTGATTCTTCTTCATATTAAAGTGCATTTGCTGATATTTAGGCCTTCTTATATTTGAACCCTGTTTGCGTGACCTCCACTTGCAGTGGGGCATTTTTACAGTGAGGTATCTGAATACTTCTTCAACCACTGCCCTTTCCTGCACCCTTTCAGTGTTCAAAGATATGAATGGGATGCACCAAGGTCAACCAGGATAAATCAACCATAACTATTTCAACTATAGTTTCACTCACTGTTCTACAAATGTATGGATCAGATATATATTTTTTCAAGCTTCAATAGTTCAGGTTCAACTTTGTGTTGATGGCCAGTTTATCCTAAAACAACAAGACATCAGCACAACTCCAAAATGAATCAATACTAAAATAGGCAGACAAAGTTAGTTAGGTTTGACTCACGCAACACACTGCTTTTATTCTGAAGACACAGGCTCAACTTCCTGTATTTTTCCAGTTATGTTAACGGAGCTTGACGCATTTGAGGAGTTTACCTGATCCCAGATTTCCCACAATACACTGAGGCACCAGGGCTGGCCGTGATGTCCTGTCAGGGAGGACATCTATCTGTCGGAGAGACGAACTGCAGGAGGGCACACACATGAATATCAGTTTGTTAAAGACAGATTATCAGAGGTTTTCTCGAGTGTTAATAAATAATAAATAACTTATTTGATTTTAACAGTCCCATCACTGTGATTAAATGGAAATGTCACCAACATATTAGGTTTACATGTAGGCTACATGTTTATCAACCAATCATCATTTTAAAATACAGATGTGTTCAGTTTAAAAACATATAACTGAATATTATATATTATCTAAACATATTTCTGATGCACTTTGTTCCTTTATATTATAGTGATGCACCCATGTCACAGATTAGCTGGTCTGTTCAGCCAGATTAGCTGGGTGCTCCATGACCATGTGTGACCGAGAGGTCACAGGGTGGGGGCAGCAATAATCTTATTCATTTCACATTAGCCGGCCAGTGGAGGGACCAGGATTTAGGAAACAATCAATTCAAGTTACATTTAGAGTTCATTACAGCAGCATTTAGTGGGAGTCAGTGGGCCGTGGCTCAGCACAGCAGCCTAATATACAGTGAGTACAGATAAATAGGATCTGAAGAACAAACACCGTGAGTGTTTGAGTGTACGGGGATCACAGTGTCGAGATAAGTTCTGTTACTTGAGAGCTGATCATGAGACAATGGTTCCCTCGGCACAAAGATGTCAAAGTAAATGTAAAAACTGCACCTGAACATCAGTCGGTTGTTGGCTGTGTGAATTCTGCTTCACAGATCCAAACTCACACTCCACTGTTGGACCAGTTATAATATACAGCTCACTATACAAAATACTCCTGGAAACCATCAAGACGGCATTTGTCCTTTGCTTGAGTAAAATCATTTTATAATAATAATGTATTAACTATTACTATTAATTATTAATCATTATTATTATATATATTATTATTTATTAATTATTATTATTTATTTATGCTACTTTATCCTTTCCATTACATTTTAGCGATACATATTCTCCTTTTTTACTGCACTACAATAATATTGTCTCACAGCTGGAGTTGTTTTTCAGAATACAATTCTACATATAAAAACATATTAAAATAATATGTATTTTTATATGTTTAAAAACCCAGAAAAATATGAAGTAGTTAAAGCTCCACTGCTACAATATAATGATGCACGTATTTAATAATATGACAGGGGGCCATTCTGCTGCAGATACATACATTTAATACTTTAGTACATTAAGCTGTACATTTGCAAGACTTTCATGTGTAGTGGGGTGTTTCTTTTAGGAGGGCATCATTATATCCCTTCATTAAATAATACAAATATTTCCCCCAATACTTGGTTTGGTTGGCAGATATTTAATATTAGGAGAATGTGGTCAGTGTTAGAACAACAAAATAACTAGAACAAAATATCCCTGTGACTTTTACACAAGAGATTTGAGAGGTAGGCCCCTGGCCCAGAAACCCCTGGCCTGCGCCTTTTAAGCACGATCAGCTGTTCATCCTTGCTTTGACTCCTTTTCTTTTGAGTTTCTATAGATGGCGCTCTTTCCTTTATCCATTCAATCATAGGGCTAATTTGCTGTTCATGCTAATGACCATCAGATTATACCTACACTAAACCTTCCATACCTTCAAAAGCATATTCACAAAAACTCTTCTAAATTATCTACTAAATACTAAACACAAATTCACAGAGAGAGATACAGCCCAAACAGGAACTATTAAGAGAGTGTGTGTGTGTGTGTGTGTGTGTGTGTGTGTGTGTGTGTGTGTGTGTGTGTGTGTGTGTGTGTGTGTGTGTGTGTGTGTGTGTGTGTGTGTGACAGTTATATGAGCGGGTTGATGGACAGCTCAGCTGTCAGGTAGCAGAGGAGCTCCAGCAACTGACTGTGGGAGAGCAGGCCATCCATATTAGGTCAACGGTCCCCGGGGAAACTCCTTTCTACACCACCCTCCAATACCTGCTGCTCACCACATATTCACGGGTAAATAGATCAGGGTCAGACGGTCAACTTCTCTCTGCAACATCTGACAAACTGCAGGGAAGAGATTTCTAGATACTAAAACAACCTTTTTTTGGTCTGAAGGTCTCGAGTGTCAATGACAAACCGTACACATTGTATTTCCTGTCAGCACCTACAGGAAACAAATGTTCAGTCTTGCAAAAAAAATTAATGATGGGTGTTATTCAAACTGTCATTTCATTTCATTTCAAACCTTTATTTATTCAGGTTGTATCCCATTGAGATCATTGACCTCTTTTTCAAGGGAGACCTGCTCAAGTAGGTTCCACATGAAACATTAAAAACATAAACAGAACAACAAAAGGACATCATACAGTAGCATTACAGGGATTACAATTTACATACTATCCACATGCACAGGTACCAACAGCTTCCGATTCAGTAGCATCCAACCGAGCTTTAAAAACATTGAGTGGCACCAGATTGCTCAGTTTCCATTTTAATTGCAGACTATTCCAGGACAGTGGAGCTGCGCATCTAAATGCTATTTTCCCTAAGACAGTCCTAGCAGTTGGCACATTTAATAAAACCACAGCATGCGATCTCAGGCAGTAGCCCCTTACAATTCGCCGTGAGATCAGGGAGCAGATGTAGGATGGAAGTTTCCCTAACATGGCTTTATATATAAAAATGTACCAGTGACTGAGCCTCCGTACAGTTAGTGAAGGCAAACCAGCCCTTGCATACAGGGTACAGTGATGAGTTAATGCTTTACAGTTTGTCACAAATCTCAGTGCACTGTGATACGCAGCATCTAACTGTAAACTGTTTCATACATTTGTCATAACACACTGGAAGATTGCTGGATGAAACAAACTGCTCGATAGAAAGAAGGACAATCTTAGTCAATACATCCTAATGATATGCAGGTCAGGTCTCCCTTGAAAAAGAGATCTATGATCTCAATGGGACCAATCTGGTAAATAAAGGTTTGATATGCAGCTGGGGCAGTGGATGGTGCTTAGGGAAGAGAAAAGAGGGAAAGTGAGTTTTTAGATGAGTAAATCCTTTCTACACATTCACTTTGAAGTTCCTCAGTCAACAGTGCTCAACCAACCATGTGAGATAAAAGTTGTGTTCAAAAAACACAGTACTCATATGCATCAGTATATTAAAACACAAGTATTCATCGTATGTGATAGAAAATGAGAGGAGGTTCGTTATAAGCTGTCTGCTATGATTAGTTTCTGTATACCTGTGCAAAAGGGGGACGGTTCTGACTGCTTACCACCGCTGCTGTTGGGCTCCAGTGTTGTGGTTGATGCAGGAAGAAGGGTAAGGTGCTGGCAGCAGGGGTTACTAGGTCCTACAGGAACACACACAACCCCAGGATAACATTAGAGTCCTGATCAGCACTACAACTGGGAATCATGTATTTGATGAGGGGAAAGGGTGATGCATAAATATTCCAAAACAAACATACTTTTAAGGGTTAGATATGATTCAAAACTGTATTAGTGTCATCTACATGAAAAATGATTTATGAAGAATGAAAGATCAAGTGATAAGGGAAATGCCTTGGGTGTTTTATTTAGCTATTGTATTATCTGTTCTGTACAGTTGACATTACTGAGATAATATAAGTTTTGAA